GTCTGAGAAATGAAGAGGGTAGAGAGAGAAAGAACCAGAAGAAATGAGCTAAAAAAATTTGGATTTTTATAGAAACTAAGAAAAACCAAAACGACAATATTTCAATAATCGTCAAAACGACATCGTTTTGAGCACCCAAATTCACGTGTCAGCCTATGACTCGACCTGGGGTCCGTGCACCCGATCCGGCAACCCGCTTGACCTTTGGCTCCTGATTGGTTCAATTGAATTGGTCCAAACTGAACCAGACCGACCCCGAACCATTGAACTATCTCAAACTGCCAAACCAGTCGGATTGGCATTGACCGCCAAACCGCCAAAAAGTTTTAAAGAATATGTACAGAGATGAAGAGATGTGGCTGCACAAGTCCAATCTCCTCTCACTGAGAAAGAGACAATTGTCTTATTTGTGAACACTCTAAAAGTACCATACTATACAAGATTGATAGGTAATGCAACTAAGAACTTTGCAAATATGGTGATATCAGGTGAGATTATCGAAAATGTCATAAAAAATGGCAAGCTTGATGCAAAAGAGACAAGCGGAGCAAAAAGAGGTGCAGCATTAAAAAAAAAAAAGAGAATGAAGCCCAAGCGATAAACTATGTGGGGCAACAGATAAGAGGATTCACTCCATACCCCATTATAATGTACCAAACCCATTACCCTCCCATAAATAATGTTACCTCTATCCCTCATCCATATCAACTATACTAGCCACTACAACCACTAGCTTATCCACCTCAGTTTCAACCATCATTTTGGATACCCACCTATTCTTACAACTATCTTGCTACACCTACAAGATCAGAATGGAGACCTAGTCCAAAAAATGGTCTGAGAGCCTTAAGAAATACCCAAGAAAAACCCATTTTTGACCCTATTCCCATGACATACACGGATTTATACCCTCGGCTTGTCAAGAAAATTTACTAGCCCCTATTATTGTTAAGCCTTTGAAACCTCCATTTCCCAAATAGTCTGATCTTAATGCACATTATGATTATCATTATGGAAACTTAGGTCATTCTACTAAGAATTGTACTACACTAAAGCATAAAGTACATGGGTTAATCAATGAAGGGGTGTTAAATTTTGAGACCAACCGACAAGGGACTCCAAATGTTAATGGGAACCCTCTACCCTAACCATACCAGACCATCAATAAATGCCTTAATTTATAGGCAAACAAGCCATGTGAAGGAAAAGATAGATGAAGTTAAGACTTTGATGGCTAAGGTGTTTGAAGTCTTGGTTAAGGCTAATATATTGAAGTCAATAGAACCTCAAAATTGCTCTGAAGCGATTAACTCAACCGAGAGCTGTAATTATCACAAAGGTACTTTGGGGCATTCTATCAAGAGTTGTCACCAATTCCATCAAGAAATGCAGAAGTTGATGCATATGGGTCGGATAGAATTTTACGAAAAAAAAAAGAGTTAATGAAAGCTGAAGTGTCTACCATTGATTCAAAGAATAAGTTTGTACATAGACCAGTAACAATTTATTATGATGAGAAGTCGACATCAAGGCTAGAAAAGCCCATCTCCTGACCAGTAGTAACAATTAAAGTTTTTAGCCCTTTTTTCATACCAAAATAATAAAGATAAAGCAATATCGTGGAAGTACGATTGTGATATTGTAATTAATCCAAATGCTACAAACATAATGGGCGTAGAAGGTATAACCCAAAGTGGAAGGTGTTATACTCTAGAAGCTTTAGAGAAAGCAAGAAAAGAAAAAGCAAAAGTGAGAGAAAAAGGAGAAAGTCAGAGTAATCCTATTACAGCCTCAAATGAAGAATGTCAAAAGCCTGTCTCTAAGACTAAAGCTTGTGAATTTTTAAAGCTAATAAAATATAGCGAGAATAACGTGATAGAACAGCTGAACAAGATGCCAGTTAGAATTTTGCTATTGTCATTATTACTAAGCTCAGAGTCATACCGTAACGCTTTACTGAAAGTATTGAATCAAGCATATATGTCGCATAATATCTCTTTTGAATATGTGAAACAACTTGTTGGAAATCTGACAATCTTAAATTACATCTCTTTCAGGGATGAAGAGATTCCTCTTGAAGGTTGAGAATGTATTAAGGCTCTTCATATTATTGTAAAATGCAAGAGTCATATAATGACTAAGGTTTTGATCGATAATGGCTCATCCATCAATGTTATGTATATGACTACTTTAGCAAAACTCTCTGTTGATGGATCTTATGTGAAGCCTAGTCATATAATAGTTCAAACCTTCGATGGAACCTGAAAAAAGGTGCTGAGAGACATAGAAATGCCATTACAGATTGGCCTATGCACTTTCAACGTGAAATTCCAAGTTATAGATATCTCTCCCTCATATAGTTGCTTGTTGGGTAAGCCATGGATTCATATGGTGGGTGTTATTCCATCCTCATTGCATCAAAAAGTCAAATTCATTATTGATAAAAATTGACATGTGTGGTAACAGAAGAAGATTTATTGGTCACCCAATCGATAAATACTCTTTATGTAAAAGTAGTAGATGAAGCCCTAGAGTACTCATATAGATCTTTTGAGATTGCTAACGTAACGTATATGACTGAAAAATCTAAATTATATTCATCACACCTATTTACAGCTACTAAAATGGTCATTAAACAGCTCATTGAAATGGGATGGCAACCTGGAACTGAACTAAGAAAGAACTTGTAAGGAATCATAGAGCCACCAGCAGTATATGACAAGAAAGATAGATTTAGCTTAGGGTATAAGCCAACAAGAGGGGTTAGGATAAAAATGGTGAATGAGAAAAAAGATAAGAGAATGGCTAATCTTGGGGGATATGAGCTAGAGTCAAAGCCTATGGTCATTCTATACCTCTATAATTATTTTTGTTTGGGAGGATATATTTACCCAGATTTGCTTGGAGCCCTAAGTGTAGGATTCGTGGAAGAGTTTTCAAAGCTGGCCATTCAAATAGTGAATGACGAAGAAAAGAAAAGTCAAAATGAAGAGCTGTTCGTGCACCCTTGTCCTTTAGATTTTAAGCTATATAATTAGAGAGTCATAGAGCTGCATGTTATCTTTAAAACTTCTAAAAAGTAATGTATTGTAGAACTTTAAATCCCTAATTGCTTTCTATGAGCATTAGGTGATCTTTTGTGTGTCTTTTATGTTTGTCGTTTTAATAAAAGACTTAAAAGATGAGTTCGCATTTTTTTATTCAATTTCATTTTCATTCATTCGAATCATTCCATTTTTCATTCTACCTTAATCATTTTCTTTTTGCCATTCCATTTTTATGTGCCAATATTCTCTTAATCTTACCCTTTGCAAGGTCTCAAATAATGAACATAAAGATAATCGTGGTAATAATCTCAATTTTGATTTAAAAACTTAATTCATGTTGACAAACTTGATAATGAGAAAGATTTAGATAATTACACACTATCTCTTCATTTGTTAAAATTAATAGAACATGAAGATAAGTCAATAGAGCCCCACCAAGAAATTACTAAATTAGTGAATTTGAGGGACAATAAAAACAAATGAGAGGTTAAAGTTGGTACATCTTTTTTATCGATTGAAAGGCAAAAGCTAAAAGAGTTACTTCGAGAATATGTAAATGTGTTCGTGTGGTCTTACCAGGATATATCCAGACTCGACACTAATATTGTAAAGCACAAGTTGCCTTTAAAACTAAAATGCAAATCAGTTCAACAAAAGTTGAGGCGTATGAAGCAGGAAATGCTGTTAAAAATTAAAAAAGAGGTGAAAAAGCAATTTGATGCTAGATTTTTAGAGGTGGCAAAATATTCTGAATAGGTAGCCAACATAGTGCTAGTTCCCAAAAAGGATGGAAATGTGAGAATGTGTGTCAATTATCGAGACCTGAATAGGGTAAGTTCTAAGGATAACTTTTCTCTACCTCATATCGATACTTTAGTGGATAATACTGCTAGGCATTTCACATTTTCCTTTATGGATACCTTCTGAAGCTATAATCAAATCAAGATGGCTCGAGATGATATGAAAAAAACCACATTTATGACCATGTGAGGGACGTTCTATTACAAAGTCATAGCTTTTGGGTAAAAAAATGCTGACGTTACTTATCAAAGAGTAGTGATGACTCTCTTTCATGACATAACGCATAAAGAGATAAAAGTGTATGTAAATGATATGATTGTAAAATCTCATGAAGGAGAGGATCATGTAATCAATTTCAAAAAGCTATTTGACAGGTTAAGAAGATTTCAACTGAAGTTGAATCCTACTAAATGTACATTTGGTGCTAAATCAAGAAAATTATTAGGCTTTGTGGTCAGTGAAAGAAGAATTGAAGTGGACCAAGATAAGATACAAGCCATCTAGAACTTATCTCCTCATCGTACCTTAAAAAAAATGTGAGGTTTTTTATGGAGATTGAATTATATTGCTCATTTCATCTCTCAACTCACCTACAAGTGCGAGCCCTTTTTTAAGCTTCTTAGAAAACATGATCTAGGAGAATGGAATGATGAATGCCAAGAAGCTTTTGATAAGGTCAAAAAATACTTGTCAAATCCACTTATGTTGGTACCACCAATCTCAAAAAAACCTTTGATTTTGTTCTTAATAGTGCATGAAAATTCAATGGGATGTGTGTTAGGACAAAGAGATGAAACTAACAGGAAAAAACGATCAATTTACTACTTGATCAAGAAATTCACTGATTATGAGTCCAAGTATTCACCATTAGAGAAGATAAGTTGTACATTGACCTGGACAGCTCGAATGCTCCAACAATACATGCTTTATCATACTACTTGGCTCTTAGAAAAATTGAATCCTATTAAATATATTTTCGAGAAGCCTTTATTAACGAAGAGAATAACATGGTGTCAAGTTATGCTTTCAGAATATGATATTATTTATGTGACTCAAAAGGCTATTAAAGGAAGTGCAATAGCCAAGTTTCTTGTCAATTATGCAACCAAAGATTATGAACCAATGAAACTGGATTTTTCTAATGAAAATGTGATGGCCATTGAAGAAAATGAACCTGTTAGGAAGTCTTGGATGATGTATTTTGATGGAGTTGCTAATGCTTTCGATCATGGTGTTGGGGCAATTTTAATATCTCTCAGTGAACATTATTATCTCATCACGGCCAGGTTGAATTTTAATTGCATAAATAATGTGGCTGAATACAAGACCTGTGTTATGGGTCTACAAGTAACAATTAAAAAAAAGATTAGAATGTTGAATGTGTTTGGAGATTCAGCTCTAGTCATCTATCAGTTGTAAGGAGAATGGGAAACAAGAGATTCTAAATTGATCTCGTATCATAAATACATATCTGAGTTGGTCAAGCAATTTGAAGTAGTTCAATTTGAGCATCTGCCTAGAGAGAAAAACCAAATTGCTGGTGCATTAGCTGCTCTAGCTACAATGATTAAAGTAGATGCAAATATTAAGATCCAACCCATCAAGCTAGATGTGAAAGATGAAGCAACACATTACTCAGGTGTCAAAGAAGCGATTGATGGGAAACCATGGTATCATGACCTTATGTAATACATAAAAAATTAGTAATACCTGAAACATGCAACAAAAAATGATAAAAAGACTATCAAAAGGTTAGCTATGAGTTTTTTCTTTGATGGAGATGTCTTTTATAAAAAGAGTAGAGATCAAGTGCTCTTAAGGTGTGTAAGTGCAGCTGAAACGAAGAGGATTATTAAAGAAGTGTATGATAGAGTTTGTGGGGCACATGTAAATGGTTATATGATGGCTAGACAAATTATGAAAACTGGCTATTATTAGTTGACAATGGAAAGTTACTGTATTGATTATGCCAAAAGATACCATAAATGCCAGATTTATGTTGACAAGATTCACGCCCCTCCAACAGCTTTCCATGTTTTGGCACTTCCATGGTTATTCTCTATGTGGGGTATGGATATCATTGGTCCCATTACTCCAAAAGCTTTGAATGGGCATAGATTCATCTTTGTGATGATTGATTACTTTATGAAGTGGGTGGAAGCTATATCATATGCTAGCGTAACCCGATTTGTGGTATGCACGTTTATAAAAAAAAAAGATAATATGGAGATATGGGCTTCCAGAGACAATTATTTTTTATAATACCAAAAATTTGAAGAACAAAATGATGAGTGAAGTGTGCACTCAATTCAAGATCCATCATCATAATTCGACATCATATCATCCAAAGATGAATAAGGCAATGGAGGCTGCAAACAAGAATATCAAAAGAATTTTAGAAACAATGACTAATACTTACAAAGATTGGTATGAGAAATTGCTTTTTGCTTTGTATGCTTATAGAACATCAATCCAAACATCTACTGAAGCTACGCTGTTCTCTTTGGTATATGGAATGGAAGCTATGCTACCAGTCAAAGTGAAAATTCCCTCACTGAGAGTCCTGATAGAGGTAGAGTTAGAAGAAGCAGAACGGGTTCAGAATTGTTATGAGCAATTGAACCTCATTAAAGAGAAAAGATTTATAACACTTTGTCGTGGTCAATCATATCAAAAGAGGATGCTGAGAGCACATGATAAGAAAATCCATCCCTGTCGCTTTAGTGAAGGAGACTTAGTGCTGAAAAGGATCTTTCCAAATCAATATGACAATCGAGAAAAATGGACACCAAATCGGAAGGGTTTATACGTGGTGAAAAAACCTTTTTTGGTAGGGCATTGATTTTGACAGAGATGGATGGATGTGATTTACCTACTCCGATAAATTCATATGCTGTAAAGAAATATTTTTCTTAAAAAAAGAGACAAAAAAAGCAAAAAAAATAAAAACAAAAAAAATGAAAAATGAAAAAGAATGACATATCTAAGCTGAGAACCTAAAAAAGTAGCTTGGATGCAAAGAAAAAACATCATTAAGAGAAGATCCCATAACACAGGGGCAAGTGTAGTTTGGCAAACTCTGAAGAATCAAGGAAGTCATTTGATTTAGTTTTAGAAAAAGAATCTAGGAATATTTATTTTGGATTATCTTATGATCATTATTTGGGCACTTTTGTTTTGACTCAAACACTTTTGTTGCCATACACTTAGTATCAGTCTAATGAAATATGCTATCTTTCCTTTGGAAATAATGCCTATCCATTCGTTTATCTCATTCGATATTTTTATTCATCTTAACAAATAAGTAAGAGAAATGTGTGATTGCATTTTGTTTGTCTTAAACTTAAAATGATGAAAAGAAAAACAAACACAAAAGATCTTGGCATTACTTTTTAAAAGTTGACAAAGGCAGATGAAAAAGGATGAGAAAAGCATGACAAGACATTGATGTTGCAAACTTTTGAAGAAGAAAAATATTGTTAGGGAAGAATACTATGGTCAAATGTTAAGAACATATTGGTTATATGGCAATTGTTGAGAATTTTGATGAAAGAAGCAAAAAAGTAAGAGATTTCGAGAACCTTTTTACTACAATGAATAATTTCGATTACATTACATGCATTGCATTTAAAGCACTCTGTACATACATCCATGAGCAGTTATAATAAGTACAAAAACTTCCCATTTTCTAATGAAAAATAAGATTTTGATATTTGGATAAAGATAATAATCAAATAAAAGATTTGAAAGAGAGAACTTTACTTGTTCAAAGTTGAGATCTCGGTTTCGAGAACATATGAGATTTTTAAAGTTGTTAAACCTCTCCTTAGAGGAGCTTTTCTAAGATAAGATTTTTAAAGTTGTTGAGCCTCTGCTTAAAGAGCTTCTTCAAGATGAATTTTAAAGTTGTTGAACTTCTGCTAAGAGGAGCTTTTTCAAGATAGATTTTTAAAGTTGTTGAGCCTTTGCTAAAAGGAGCTTTTTCAAGATGAATTTTAAAGTTGTTGAACCTTTACTTAGAGGAGCTTTTCCAAGATAAGATTTTTAAAGTCGTTGAGCCTCTGCTTAGAGGAATTTTTTAAGATGGATTGTTAAAGTTGTTGAGTCTCTACTTAGAGGAGATTTTTCAAGATGGATTTTTAAAGTTGTTAAGCCTTTGCTTAGAGGAGCCTTTTTAAAATTTTCAAAAGTTGTTTAGCCTTTGCTTAGATGAGACTTTTTAAATTTTTGAAAGTTGTTGAGCCTCTGCTTAGATGAGCCTTTTCAAAATTTTAAAAGTCGTTAAGCCTCTACTTAGAGGAGCCTTTTTAAATTTTTAAAAGTCATTGAGCCTTTGTTTAGATGAGCTTTTTTAATTTTTAAAAATGTCGTTAAACCTCTGTAAACTCTCATTTTTCAAAAAAGCTTCAAGATAAATAATAGATAAATAGAAGCAGAGTTTCAATCCTTGTAAAATGGTAGGATTAGGACTTTAAATTTTGAAACTGGGATGGTTTTTTGAAAAAGAAGGGATAAACAGATAAGAGGATGAGAAGATTCTAATTTTTGAATCCTCAAACTGGCCTTATTTAAACCATCAACCACATATAGCAAAAGGGGGGCAGTTACAAAGAGAAATCAAGCAAGCTCAAGCCAAATTTGAACGTTTCTTTTACCACCACTAAACACCATCTACACCATACCACACTGCCATCTCTACATCAATGCCAATTCTTTGTTGACAGCCTACTCTCATCACCATCAGGCCACCACCCTCAAGAAGATAAAAACCCATAGGAATTCACATAGAAAATATTGAAGAAATAACCTACTGAAATCATTTTTCCTTTGTCTCCAGTAGCAGCAAACCCACATCCAACCAACCAACCAATGATGCTTTCCCCAGCGAAAATTGATAGTCGATTGGGTTAAAATCTCCTTATTTGTCGCTTGCACTAAATAATCAACAACAACCCAATAAAGCCGAAAATGCATAGAGAATCAAACAATAATCAAGATAGAGGCATGAGCTTCTAACAAAGAGCAGTCTAATACACCCAATTTTTTAGCCAATTTTCAGCAAGCCATTAGTAACAGTTAATCCTCAATCACATGCAACCATTACACAAAAATAAAAACCCAGCATAATTTTGGTTTTTGCCTAAGTGGATCCTATCATTACCATTATCAGCTTCAAACCCGATTCATAGAGATAGGGATGCTATCATGGAAAACTGCTAGTACCACTTGAAAGAGAGGACGACAAGCAACTTTCTGGCGAAATTTAGAGTTTTTCGATCTTAGGTGAATGGCCAACGGGCAATGGCAGACGGCAAAGGATGGTGGCACTAGCATCAAAATCTGGGAACCCTTGAACTTTTCAACTGTTTTCTTCTGATTTGTGTTTGAAAGTCGAAGAAAACAAAGCTTCTAGTGCGAGAGCGAAAATTGGAAATCTAATGGAGAAGGCAAAATTTTAGGCTATCATAATCACGTGAAACGACACCATGTCATTTGTTAAAAAACTCAGCTGACCCGAGTGTTTATGTTAACCTAGCTTGTGTTCCATTGCCACCCAAGCCGCTAGCCCACATCTTCAAGTGGAGCTTGAGCCACAAGCCGAACAGTCTCCTTAGAGCATAAAAATTTCAAACAAGTATTTTTGAGGAAAAGTTGAAGGTATCAATTTTCTTCGAAAATAAAAATTTCAAAAAATATATTTTTGAGGAAAAGTTGAAAATATCAATTTTTCTTGGAATTAAAAATTTCAAAAAATATATTTTTGAAGGAAAGTTAAAAGTATCAATTTTCCTTGAAAAAAAATTTTCAAAAAGCATTTTAAGGGAAATTGAAAGTTTCAATTTTCCTTGAACATAAAATTAAAAAAATATATTTTTTAAAAAAAGTTGAAAGTATCAATTTTCCTTTTATAAAAGCATAAGTTTTTTTCTTATAAAATAGCATATAAAAAGAGATCTCTATCAAAAGTTAAAGCATTATTCTTTTTTTCTTTTCCTTTCTTATTTTTTTAAAATGTCAAATAATCCAATGACGGAGCCTCTGCGAGAGAAACAATAGTTTTCTTGCATACTCTTGAGGTGAGGGGATTTTCTTAATTTTCTACCAAAAGTATTGGAGTTAATTAAGAATAATTTCTAATAATTAATTACTTGGTGAAGTTTTTAAGGTTAATGGATAACACAAAATCGATCTAGTACCATCTTTCGATGGGCGTTATGGGGGTGCTATAACCTTTCTCATGCGTAACCACACTCTTGGACCTAGTTTTGGTTTCACAGACATTGAATTTATCTTGCAAAGATACCTAAGTCAAACTTAGGATTTCTCTTTAAAAAGGGACAGATTCAATCAGGTGGCCAATCGCACCTAAACAAAAAAGATTGGTGGTAACTCCTCAAGTTAATATCTAGCAATAGGTCATCGGATCTTGACGTTATGACAACCTCTATTTTTTAGAAATAGGCAAAGAGGGGCAGTTGTAAACACCATTTTGTATTTTTTATTATTATTATATTTTTTCTTCTTTCTTTCTTTCTTTTTCCTTTTTTTTTTTTGTTTTGATCAGTTTGACTAAAATATGAATGCATTAAATGCACCCTTCTTAAAAGTCCAAAAATACTGTCACTGTTAGCTGTCAGCAGCCACCTGACACTCTGCCTAACCTGGCAGTGTGAATTTTGGCCACCAAAATCCAGGTAGGTTGAAAATATGGAATTTGAATCTCAAAAAGCTTTATAAATAGAGCTCATTGCTTGCAGAAAAAAAAGAAGCCATGGATCAAAAGAAAACCCTACAAAAAAAATTTAAAATAAAAAAAAAAAGAAAAAGCTTTCTGTAAAAAAAAAAGGAACAAAAAACTATAATCCCCAAGGTAGGGGAACGCAACACCAGCATATAAGAAAAAAAAACAAAAAACATAAAAAAAAATTTCAGCCAAAATTTTCATGCTATATCTGCATCATTTGGAGCCTTTTTTTTATAAAACCAGGTTTAAATCTAGACTCTAGAGGCTTTGAGTAGCATTTTAGTGTTTTTAGAGATTTTTTTTCGACGATTGACACGGTGCTTAGAGTTCACCAACGGCAAGGAGCATGACAGTCATCGCGACGGACGGCTATCGGCCCCTGAAGTGTCTAAAAGAAAAGAGGGAGAAAGTTTTTTTCTCAGAGAGCAAAGAAATGACTGGAAAAAGTTTTTGGGCCTTTTATAGAAATTGTAAGAGCCAAAACGATGCCATTTCAATAAAGACCAAAACGACGTCATTTTAGCCCCTGAGGATCCACACGTCAACCCGAGGTCTGAGTAACTGACCCGCGACCCACTTCTTCATTTGATTCTAACTAGTACAGCTAAACTAGCCTAGGTTGAACCAAACCCACGTCAAACTGTCAAACCGACCGAACTCGCGTTGATCGTACTGTTGACTGGTCCGATTCAAGTAAAAACAAATTTTTTTAGATATTATTTTTGTTATTTTAAATTTTATTATTAATATTCAAGCATATTAAAATGTTTATATCTGTTAAAATAAATAAAAAATAAATAATGAAATATATAATAAAATTTTTTTGATAATTTTGTTAAAATTTGGAATAAACCTTATAAAATAATTGGTAAAAAAGTTATAATTAAATAAAAATAATAAAAATGTAAGAAAGGAAATTTTTATCTGACGATGAGATTCAAAGGTACTCCAAGTAGTGATACCTACGAAATCTCTAGGTGAGAAGATTTTTTTTAAATACTACCAGTGTATTAGAGTATTTAAAAAATTTTCAACACAATAAATTTTTTTTTACTAATAAATTAAAAATAAAATAATATAAATGTAGAAAAAAGAAA